TGAGATGAAGAGTAACAGACACACAGACAGACAAACCCAACTACTGTAACCCTCGCTGCGCATGCGCGCCGAGGGTTAATAAGTGTTTAGGTACAGCGAGATAGTATCGTTATTCCAACCTCCAACTATAGTCAAACTGTTAGGCATTGTTGGTTTGTTGTTTCGTTTACTCATGTGCGTAAAACAAATGCAAAACTGTTCAAACACTTATTGGAAAGGGTGGTAAAGAAGGAAATTGCTAGAAAAATAAGTGATTAGGTACAGCAAGGTAGTATCGCTATTCCACCCTGGTCTACCCTTACTATAAGGTTTAATCACAGACAATATTCAGTAGTCAAAAAAAGAGGCGTGCTTGAAAATTAAGTGTTTAGGTACAAGAACATAGCATCGCTATTCCACCCCCAATTATAGTCAACGTTTTAGGTATTGTTTGTTTGTTGTTTCGTTTACTCATGTGCGTACAACAAATAAGGCAAGGAAAATAAGTGCTTAGGTACAGCGAGATAGTATCGCTATTCCAACCTCCAACTATAGTCAAAGTGTTAGGCATTGTTGGTTTGTGGTTTCGTTTACTCATGTGCTTACAACAAATGCAAAACTGGTCTTGTAGGAAGGGGTGGTAATGAAGGAAATGGCAAGATAAGTGTTTTGTTACAGCCAGCGATAGAAGACATTTCCATTCCATACTCCAACTTGGATTATTGGGTCATCTTTTTTTTCGCTCATGTGCCTACAAAAAGCGTTGACACCATTATAGATAGGGCGGAGACAGCCAAGTGTTTCGCGTGGGGCGTGGTTTCGGGCGTATTATACACGGCGGGTGCTTCTTGCCTGCATCGGTTTTGCTACAGGTCGTGCAGATTTCCCCCTGAGGGGATGTCCATGTCTCGAGTGGGAGAGGAAGATGGCGAAAGACTAGCATATTCCATTCACAGCTGTTCTAGTTATTCTGGAGAATTTACTCCCGAGTAAGGGTTTGATCCTAGTTCGTGCTATAATTATCTATACTTCTCGGTGCCTTCAAGCCGGGTTCAGGCCGACGACCCCGCCGATCCCAAATCACGCTGGTTGAGTGACGGCAGTAAAGTTCCCCAGGTAAGACCTCGCGTGTGTTGCCGTGTTCCCATACACGTCTCGCTCCCCAGCATATTACCGTGAAGCTGGCAGCTCCGGCGGTTGTGTTGTCTGTCGTATTTGGTAAATACGAGAAGAGCCATGCCTGTAACCTCCGGAGGTTCTCAGTATTTGGAGGAATGGAATGTGATCATATGTATCTTCTCTGTGAGGGGTGAGCTATTGTTTTTCAAGAGTTGATGCAGTATAACGGCTGTTTGAAAGCAGGGGTTTGACCGACAACTCAAAGCCAGAGAGCTTCCCTCTTCGCCACGAGGTGGGAGGGAGGCCATTTCCATGTCAGTTTGTGAAGGTGGTGCCTGTCCAATCGTGGGGTGGAACACTGTACAGTGTGTGGTACCTGGAGTTGCGCGGGATTACAGCAAAGCCAGTGGTCTCACAGGCTCAGAAATGGCTACAACAGGTCAACTGCTCAATTAGTGTGCAATTTTGAGAAAACTACAATATTTCTCTCTGATATCAGTTTTGTAGAAAGCAGGCCTTGCGACTGTGTATGAAGCACTTGCGAGAATGTGACTATAGTGACGCCTACCTCACCCTGTGCAAACAGTCACGAGTTGAACTGGAGCACCCTCTCCTCTCCCAGCTGCACTCCACGCTGGTTGTCAGGGGAGACTTTGTGACCACTGAAGCAATTGTACAACAAGCTGCAGAGGGTATGGAGGGTGTAGTGTGTGGCAGGAACATTGCCCATTTGAATCTCTGTATAGATGGTTACCTTGACCAGTATGTGAGTCAGCAGCCAGTCCAGGCCAAGTGGAGCCCTGTCAAACCCACATCAGGTATAATACACGGTCTGACTGATGTCTTCATTCACCTCACTGCTTTGGGCAGAGGAGAAGCCAGGGATGCGTGGAGGTCACCAGATGTGTATGGATGCTGAAATGGGTTTGTGGTCTTTCGTCACTCTTATGAAACGTGTCTATGGTCGCACAGGGCTCCTGTACATGTTTGGAGGATGGGATGGTATCAATGACCTTAGTGATCTCTGGCAGTTTACAGTCGAGACATTGCGATGGGACTGTCTGAGCACGGACACTTCACAAGAGGTAAAGCAGTGTATGTCTGTCGCTTCTCTCACAGTTCCACATTTAGGGAGGCCCCAGTGGACGCTCATGTCACAAGATGTGCCTGGACTCTGGCTCCCAGCAGCTCTTCCTGTTGGGCCGGTACCTCAGTCCTTCCTCGCGCTCACCACTCAGTCCCACCAACATCCCAGTCAGCCTAACTCCAATTCTTTCAACACCTAGCAATGCCTGTTCTTTCAGGGAGACTTTTTCAGGTACAGTATTGCAGACCGGATGTGGCAGCTGCTTTCAGCTGACACACATGCACAAGGAGGACCGCACTTGATCTACGACCACCAGATGACATTCGACCCCATAACTTTTACTCTCTATGTGTTTGGCGGTCGAGTGTTGACATCGTAAGTTTCCAGTACTCTAATGAGTTGAGACATCAGGTGGTCTACAGATGCTCAGCTGTGGACTCAGCAGACCATGTGTACAGTGGACTGTACAGCTACAATACATTAGAGGGTCAATGGAGCTGCCTCAGGTTGGCCTCCAGTAATAGCTGTACCACTGGGTCTATTGGGGTCCCCTGCAGACCTGACTACAGTGGAGGCTCACCCTACCCCCACAATCTGGTCCCCCGAATGGCACACTCTCTGCTCCTACACCCAGTGAGTGAATTGTTGCACAGCCTCTAAGAAGTTTGATCACAGATGCACGTTGACTGAGTGTATATATACTTATGCCGTGGTAGCTAATGTGGGGTGGTTGTCTTGCTCATTTCAGATTGCTAGGAAACTGTATGTGATCGGCGGTCAGAGAAACAAGCAACCGCTCAGTGACATGCTGACATTTGACCTGCAGTCGAAGGAAACTGAGATTCTAGCCAATGGAAAGGACACAAGTGGTATGTGTTGAAGGTTGTTTCATTCTGTTTCATGGCTGCTGTATGCAGTGCCTGCTGCTGGGTTCACCATCAGGACAACCTTGGACCCTGTCCACAATGAAATACATCTCCTCACTGTGCGTGAACACCAACATAATATTGATCATGAAATGTTTGTCGGCATAACCTCCGCAGGGGTTAAACAAATTTGAGGGGACTCGTGATCATGGGGTTAAGAAGGGTGTCTGCTCTAACTCCCTGTGGCTCTACAGAATATCCAGCAAGACTTGGTGAGGAGACAGCAGGGCACTATCGCCTGAGTGTGTCCACTCTTGCTTCACCTGTAGGACATGCGTGTTGTCTGGGGACCAGAGGGACTGGTGTCCCGCCGCAGCTGCCCTCCCTGCCCCTCGCTACGCTCACCAGCTGGTCTTTGACCCCTCCACCCAGTCCCACTACATGTTTGGTGGCAACCTTGGCAACGAGGTCCCACCCAGTCCACAGGCCAGTATGCGGCTAGACGACTTTTGGAAGTTAAAGGTATTCAGTGGAAGCGTAATATACACGTACGTAGGTGTTTGAGTCATTTTATATGCAGCTAGTTCACCAGACAAGAAGTCAGTTGGTAAGAAAGTGTAAAGTTGCCATCAGACGACAGAAGTAAGTCAGACCAAGTTGATCCTACAGTAAAATTCTGTGCTCTTGCCTGTAGGTTCCATGAGCTGGCCCAGTCTGATCAGGTACAGGCCCTCGCCCACCTACAGGTTTGTGTCAAAGGGTTTTGTGTCCTCTGCTCTGTGTCTGTCATTCTGATTGATTGTGCAGTCCTCCCTCTCAACACTAGTCAACCACAACGATGAAGATGAAAGTGCTGAGGTTTAGTGCTATTTAGGCATTAGTGGCATATAATTTATGGGATGGCTTTTTGACTTGTATGTAGTTCCGTGAACTGGCATCCAGTCTGTTCTCCTCTGCTACCACATTCATGAATGGTGAGGGTTGTTTACTGCACTATATTACTATTGTGCTGAGTGGCCTCTCTCTCTAGACCAGGCCAGCAGACACAAACTGTTTGCCCAACTGTCATCTTATTTCCCAGAGCACATGGCTCAACCAAGGGACTCTGTGTTAGACATGGTTAAACTGTAGCTATTCTTATTACCCCGCACGCGCATGCACACAAGGGTTTCCGTCTGCATGTCCATCGTCGTCCACACTGAAAATCGCCAATGACCGGCTCATTGAACAGTAAAAAAACTGGCATCAATGGGAATCAATGACTCTGAATGTGACAGCTAGACACCCAGCCACAAATGTTGGGTCATTTGGCCATGCGTATCAATCAATGTGTGTGCAATAATACAAATTGTGCTCTCCAGAGCTCTAGTTGTTAATGGCTTAGTTTGCTATTGCTAGTCATGTTCATCGGTGAGTGGAGGTGAGGTAGAGGGGGGCGGTGGAGCAGAAGAACAATCCAAACCCTGCCCCAGAGGAAAAAACTGAACTGCTGTAGTTTGCAGGAAACTTACCACTGTTTCATTAGGTGGCGGTGGTTGCATGTTTGTGATGTGGGGAGTGTGTGACTCTCTGCGATGAATGGTGAGAGTTCCTGTGGCGGTCACAGCTCTTAAGACCTGCAGGCACTGGTGGTGGGTGTGGCCAACAAGACTGGCTCCATTGACACTAATGATCTCATCTCCAGCCTCCAGTCTCCCATTAGCCTTTGCAGGGTTGTCATCAATGGCAAGGATAAACACTCCACAGCCTGCACAGACAAAGTGAGAGGAAAAGAAAATCTTGTTGATTGATTGTTGATTATGGATTGTTGTTCTCTGCCCACAAGATTTCATTGCCTGCCAGCCAGCGCATGTGCACAAGGGGTTGTGTTTTTGGTCTGTACATGTCTGTCGCCATCATCTGCACTAAAATTGCCAGATCTCGAGACAGCGGCTAAACACTATTATACACGGCAAGAAACTAGCTGTTATGTTTGGAATCAACCACACTGACCAGAAGTCCAGCAACAAAGAAAAGCACTGCCCTCGGCGCACTGTGACGCGCACGCGTAAGTAAACGCATGCGCCGTACCACTAATTGATGGGCTGGGTTTAGTTTTAGCTGCTACTCGTGGTCTCTTGCCAGCTCGCGCAGAGTCTGACGCGGGCTAACTACCTAGATAGCATGCGAGAGGCGATACACGCCCTGCGTGGCATCTTCTGGTGCCTCCGAAATACGCAGATCACGCGGATCGATCCGACTGTGGTAAGCCGTTATATTTGCATATTGCCTTTTTCGCGCTCTAGCTTGGCAACGGAGCATTTTCAGAGAAAACCGCCTTTATTTTCTGACCTTCGTCGCCCTTTGGGTAGATGGTATCGTTTCTGGGACGAACAGACGTTCGAGGAGCGAGATGTAGAGTAACAGACAAACAAACAGACAGACCCAATGAAAAGCACTAAAGTGCAAACCCTCGGCGAAGTAGCTCGCAGAGAGTCTGAGGATCAAGTGGAAAGAACGACACCTCGATTTTTATGCGCGCGACTGAGTGGGCGTAATTTGTTGAGTCGCGTGCAACGGTGTACTTTGACCCCGGTGACTTCCGCTCCGTTTTTCGACGACCAGGCTGACTGCATCAGATTCTGACTGTCGGACCGTTTGCGATCGCAGCAACGTAGCTTACCCACTACACCTGGCATTAACGAACCGTACATTCCATGGATTATACGGTGTGCGGATCCTGAAGTATTATCACTCTGCCCATGAGCGCAGAAACGACGGTTAGCAAAATTGACCATGCTGGAGGAACACGCGGAGTATATATTCATTCGTCGTAACAGATGGAAGAGTTGACTGAACATAGACAAGTTGCTGAAATATATATTCCGTATTCATCAAGAGCACTTCATATACAGTTGTGTTTTCCACATCTATTGCACTTTTCAGAATTGATGCATACGTTGCTGCGATCGCAAACGGTCCGACAGTCAGAATCTGATGCAGTCAGCCTGGTCGTCGAAAAACGGAGCGGAAGTCACCGGGGTCAAAGTACACCGTTGCACGCGACTCAACAAATTACGCCCACTCAGTCGCGCGCATAAAAATCGAGGTGTCGTTCTTTCCACTTGATCCTCGTCTCGAGTCTGACACGGGCTAGCTACAGTAGTAGATAGCACGCGAGAGTCGAGCAAGCGGACCCGGTGTCACAGTATATTTTATCCCCCGTATATTTTATCCGGGGGATATATAGTATATTCTATCCGGCCAGATAGAATACTCTTAGTGTGGAATATCCGGGGTCCGGATATTTTATCCCTCTAATAAGAAAGGTTTCTGCGAATCTAAACGCGCGGGAAAATCGACCGTTTTGTTGGCGCCGTCGCTGCTCGGACTGTAATCTCGAATTGAATCTGCACGACTGCACTCCTTCTCTTTGAGACACTCAGCGGTTGCGCGGGTCTGCTCGCTTTCACGGCTAGCCTCTCGACGTCTCCTCTGCTCGCATTCACGGCTAGCCTCCGTTGAAATCCCCCTCAATACAGCACAGAACCTCAAAACAACACACCCCGCCTGCGTTTCGACACTCCTAATAACGCACAACGCGGGGTATAAAATATCCCGGGTGCGGATAGAATATCCTATATAGGAAATTTTATCCGGGGGGGATAGAATATCGTATCCGGCCGGATAAAAATTCGGGGGGATTAAATGTACCGCGACACCGGTCGAGGTAAGCCTGCTAAATATAAGCGCATGCGCATTATCCGCCAGCGGTAAAATGGCGACTACCGGCATTAGCCATACAATGCTTGAAGCGCTCTAGCTCTGCAACGGAGCATTTTCAGAGAAAACCCCACATATTTTCTGACCTTCGTCGCCCGTTGGGTAGATGTTATCGTTTCTGGGACGAACAGACATTCGAGAGGTGAGATGTAGAGTAACAGACACACACACACACACACACACACACACAGACAACCCAACTACAGTAACCCTCGCTGCGCATGCGCGCCGAGGGTTAACTACTGTACCCTCGCTGCGCATGCGCGCCGAGGGTAATAATTAAGCTGGGTTATTTGGCCACACCTATCAATCAACGTGTACGTCTACGCTATATAATTATGTGCTCTGAAAAGGTTTCCTGCTAAAAGCTTACCCTCTTTCCCAGATTTATATTTGTCGAGTCTGAATCCAAAGCCCCGATGTCCTTTTCTGAGTGTGACATCAAATGTAACATCTCCACCAGGTTCACTTGACTGTGGCTCTGGGTTTGACTGATAGGACGACTCGGTCACTGGCATCTCCTCTTCCTCCATTCCTGCCAGCAGGTCAGGCTCTGAGCTGCTATGCTGGAAAAAGCTCTCTGCTTCAAATGAATCCTCTGTGAGAGGGGGAGGTGGAAGTGTGGGAAGAGGGGGAGGCGGAGAAGATTGAGACATGGGGGGTGAGAGTGTAGGGAAAGGGGGAGGTGGAGAGGGTGTGTGTTGAGTTGGAGATGGAGGGGAGTGGCAAGTAGACCGGACAGGTGAAGCCCGGGAGTTTGTTGGGCTAGCTCTCCACCAGTTGGGATCAAATGGTCGATGGATCTGGAGGAACACATTATCACCTGCTTTCACAATAACATCTGCAGCTTGTTGGTGGGTCATCCCTTGAAGACTCACTGAGTTGACCTAGTAACACCAACAAAGTAATTCAGTTGGCCTCTGCCTGTGGTGAAGTTACCTGTAAAATGATGTCTCCTTCCAGCAGGGCACCACTCCTTGACCCTGCTGTATCAGCAGTAACTTGCTTGATCCGGACCAGTCCTCTCCCATACGGCTTGTCACTGCCTCCAGCAATACGAACACCCAGAACACCCTCCTCTTTACACACTTGTACATTCACACTTTCACCTGCAACAGTTCATGTACAACAACTACTTCATACAGGGAAATAATGATACCTGTGGGCAACACAAGGTCTCTTGTGCCTCTTCTCTGAACATCAATGGCAACGTGTGGCCCACAGTCTTTTAGAATAGCAAGAGTTTGTCTGTAGCTCTCAACTGCTGTATCATTGATGGCTGTTACTTTGTCTCCCACAAGCAATTGTCCGTCACATACACTACCAGTTACCACTTTCGCCACATACACATTATTCGAATGGGTGCTTCCCTGAATTTGTGGATTATGTAAGTGTCAGTTCATGGCTGGTGAAAGGCTCAAAACAACTTACTGCAAGGCTAAACCCAAAGTTGTCGGCTCTCTGTCTGTTCAGGACAATCCTCACTGGATGAAGGTGTGGGGGTGGGGGTGTTGAGGGTCTGACATTGTCGACCACTGAAGATGGGCGGGACAGAGAGGGATACTCCACAACGGCATTGGTAGCTACACTTTGGTCCAAGTTGGGGACTATATAAGAGATCATTGTCATACACATAGTATGGTACATACTATGTGGACTAACCTGACTTGGTTACTGGAGAGAACGAGACCCTTTCTCCAGATTGTTCGTGTGACTTCTTGGCCCAAACAAGGTGGAATTTGTGGCATGCCTTAGACAGCTCCAGCAGGTAGCGAGCTCTGAAACACAGCCTCAATGGTGTTGAGCAACCATACACGATAGGTAACTCACCTCTTATACGTACTTGCAAAAAATACTAGTGGCTCTGGCTTGTCCTGAAGCTCAATCACGAATTTACGGTGCTAAAAAGAACATTTAATGCTCAGATACTAGCCTATCTCATCTCTTACAGCATAGCAAATGTTGTTGGTTTTGCGCCAGGCGCAATGATGGATGGCTGTTTTGATATCTTTGTGGACATCAAATACCACGATACCTCTGACACAGAAACCAAGCCACACAGATCCTGGTTCCTCATGCTTAGCCTGCAAACAGGAGCGGTAAGTCAACTACACCCAGGACAGCTCTTCGTGCCCTGGATGGGATTCGAACCCACAACACTCTGCTAGGAGCAAAATCAGTTGGTACAGGCTCGAATGTTCAACACAATGCAACTAGTATGCATACAGTATTTGGCGCGGGGACTCGGCAGTCTGACCCGTTCTGGAACCAATTACCCGATAACGATGATGGGCAGTGGTATGACCCCTGGTCTCGGGTCTTTACTGTATAGGGCTAATATAGACTGTTCTCACCTTGGCCACTCTGTAGAAGAGCATGCCATACTCTGGCAGCTTCTGTGCTTCCTAGAGAACACCGATAGTGTCAATGAATGTATTCCTCCATTTCCTTACATTACCTTCAGAAATTCCAGTTCTGCCTCCATTCGACTCAGACCAAACCTCTCTCTGTGCATTACGGACAGAAGATTTTCCACAGATTCCCTCCCAAGCTTCTCCAACACCTATTTCCCAGTGTTTGAGCTAAAATGTTAAGGACATAATGATAAGTGGTTACTTGAGCAGGGACATAGTCCTCAATCCGGCCCAGACTAGTAGTATTGCCTCTTTCTGCCTGGATTGCCAGAGCTGCCAGCCGCAATATGTGGTCTTCGTGACAGAACATTCTCCCTTCTGGGATGGAGTCAGGAAAATTCACTCATCTTATCAGAATGCACGCTTACCCATTGTATCCTTGCGGAGCTGTAAGTAGTAGAGATGGCGTGTGAGAGGCGGTGCCAGCTGACTCACATTCTCCACATAGTACTTAACTCTGAAGAACACAGTTAAGGGTGCATGGCTGGTGACCCAGTCTTTAGGAGCGTATTTTACAAGCTTGCTCTCCATGTCCAGAAAGACTTCGTCTCGGTCTGTAATAGAGAAATAGTGAAGCTACATAATAATATTGTGTCAGACTGAAATGAACACCAACCAATGCGCACTGCCAGGCCAAAGAAATGAGAGTCCTGAAGGCTCTGTGAGGAAACCACCTGCCCGAAAAGCTGGCTGGTCGTGGCAGACACGTCCACCGCAAATTCCACAGCCTTTCCATTCAGCAACACTACTTGCACAGCCCTGCGACCATGGGGCATAGGAACTGACGTCTCTCCCACCTTCCCTCCAGTCATGCTGCTGAACTCTGGTCCCAGCACATTCCGCAGCTTGTTGATAGAGCCGGTGCCACTGAAGCCCACCTCCAGAACTGGAGTAAACCCTGTGCTCTTCCCCACCTCTGTGTACCCTCTGCTGTCCACGCAAGGTACCTGCACACTGTGAGCCTCAACCTCTTCATACACACCACTGGCTGGTCGGTAGTCGGTGGGGTCTGGTGAAAACAGTAACGGTTGTTCAACCACTTCAGGACTAGGACTTGCCCGTTCTGGTTCAACTGGAGCCAAGAAACTGCCTGTATCATCACTTTGTTCTGGCCGGCTCTTTCTTCGTATTTGCCTGCTGGTTTTCTTGCTCTTGTCAACAGTGGCATAGAGAGCTTTCACCTCATCCTCCTCGTTCTGAGACTCTCCACCTGCAACTCCAACTTAGTGTTATGGCTCATAATGTCATCGCGTCACTTAACTATTAGTAGCATCCCAGTTCCTTCCATCCATAAGATGCAGAGCCTCATCGACAGCTGTGTTGGTGTCATAAGCCTTGGCCTCTTCTGACTCTGTAATGATGGGGTTTCCAAGGAAGTGGTACAATCGTCAAAGTACACAGAGAGAACCAACTTTTGCCGGGAGTCAAACTCAGATGCTGTGACTGGAAGTCCAGCAACTCCCAGACAAAAGCTGCTCTTCCCCATTCCCACTACAGTAAGTCTACTACCAGCAGTTGTTGCCTATCTGGCAACTTCGCACTGGCAGACGCCATGTCATGTGCCGTCAGATTCCAGCTAGGAATTGACTGGTACCACTTGTACGTTAGTAATAGAGCCATGACCTTGTGGATTTACTCACAGATTATTCTTAATTGACCTGTTATATATGAATGCTGGTCCTAAATCTTCCACTTACCAAGTTATATAGGACAATCCCACAAAATTCTGACCTGTTGGGAGAGGAGGTAGAGGACGTGGAAACTCAAACTCATCTCCGGAAGAGTTGGCACTGGAGTTGCGGTTAAGGTGAGAATTTTCCAAGTCGCTATAGTCAAAAGAGGCCACAGAGAGGTGGCTTTCTTCTCCCTTGCTTCTTGATGTGTTCCCAGTCACTTGAGGCTGCACAACATTAGAGCAAAGTAACAATACCGGATGGATTAAGCCATACCTTATCTAGCAAGAGTGAATCAATCTTTTCAAGTGTATTCACAGTGCTGGCTAGAGAAGGCTGAGTATCATCATGAGACTCTAGGACCGGAGATGATGAGAGTGGGTGAGGAGGTGGAAGGGGAGGGAAGTCGTCCAGTAAGGAGTTGACCTGAAATGCATTGGAAGGTGGATAAGGGGCATTCTCTGGGTAAACCAAGTCATGTCTGATGTCAGGAGGAGGAGAAGCTGGGGGACTGGGAGGTGGGGAGGCCTCAAGAGATGGAGAAGAGGGTGGAGGGGAACGAGGTAGGGATGGGTGAGGAGATCGACGGGGACTTTCTGGGGCTCGTCTTGTTCCATCGTTGACTTCAGCTGTCCTTTGAACATCAGTGAAAGCTGGTACCAGAGGACCAGACTGAGCTGGAGCTGGTGGTAGATGCCTATTTGTCTTGCAGGCAAGCAGTTGGATGTCTTGTGAACGTAGGTTAAGAGACACTGCTCGGTGCAAGACATGTGGACTAGAAGTGTTGAGTCCCTCCTGCAAACTCAGGTGGTATGTGGGAGGTACTGAAGAGATTGATAATCGTGCAAGACTAATAGCTCCAACACTTCGTGAACTAGGTCTCCGTTTCAGAAATTGCGTGGACCCTATATAGATGCATGACAGCTAATGTATAATTATGTCAATGTGTCATAACCATACCTTTAGTGAGACTAGAGACGCTTCCTCTCTGGCTGGTGGAGATCATCTGGAGTGCCAAGGTTAGCTGCAAACAAGGAATATACATTCTTTGGATTCTAATATTCAGCTCTCACCTCATGGTCCAAATTCTCCTCGCTAACATCAGTTTCATCCTCAGATGATGTCTGCAAAAAAACAGTAATTTATTAAACAGTGAAGACAGTGCCAGACTAGTTTCACATATTCAGATCTGCCAAGAACAAGTGAGACAAGCTCTTTGACTTCATCCAGGGCTTCATCAGGAGCCAAGTGAGCACAAGAAGTCAGCACCTCCTGCAGGGAAGGTCTGGTTGCAGGCTCTTTGGCAACCATCGCCCCCAGTAGGTGATGTAGGGAGCTGGTCTCCGTGCCATCTACTGCTGCACTCACACTCGCTCCCAGCGAATAGACGTACACCTGAAACAGAACGTCAACATCATCAGTAGCTAAGTGGACCAGTCCACAATGCACCTTCTCTTTGTCCAGTTCCGAGCCGAACCTCGACTCTGGAGCCACGAACTGGGACTGTTTATCATCGTAAATACCGTCCAGTACCTCCACTTGCCCACCAGGACGGAGTAGAATGGACTCCGGAGTAATGAAGAGCCCCGGACCCTCCCCTACAACCACAAACGCATGCCCTAGTCCGTAAAATAGGGGTGGGGCTAGTTACCTGCAGCGACGGCAGCTTGCACGGATTCGCTAGCCTGTTTCAGTAGGGCCCACAGCGATCTTTGCTTCAGGGGACGCCCTGCAACCTGTACTACCTCACTCAATGTGACGTGCAGTCTCGTTGGCATCTTGCTAAACACTGAATGACTGCTAAAAAGTAGGCGTGTATAGTGCTAAAACAAACTCCCACGCAATTCGCATGGGGGCGGGGGGGGGCATGCAAACTTGTAATATACACGGCCCTGGAAAACGTTTCTCATGCATATGTACCTACATTTCACATTACATCATTATAAAAAGACGTCCAGACAGCTAGGTACGTGGAACCGTGGACCTCGGTGAGTATCCGACCACACCCACTGCTTGAGACAGGGATTCCGCTACTAATGCTGGGTGTTCTCCGACAATAAACGTTTGAATCTCTAAGCCACTCTACTATACAGGCAGTAAAGCTGTGCATCAAGACAGTAATAGTTCATACAAGGCTAGTGAGTCTGACAGAAGTTGTGCTGAGCCTGCTGTATGAACAAGAGCCACTTGTCCTGTGAAAAGGAGGGACGGATAATGCACAGAATGTGTCTACTCACATGTTACCCTCTCTTCCAGTGATAGAGCTCTCAGTGTGTGGACAGTCACCAGTTGCTGGAGTCGGTTTCTCTGGACTAGAGTGAAACAGTGTTTGGGGGAGGAGGGAGCATGCACATCCAGCCAGTCCAGGAAGAGTGGTTGTCCACTGACAGTATACTGAACTAGCTGCACATAAACCAACTGAGCATGCACATGAGCCAACATGCCAGCAGGTATCAGACCTCTCTCCTGATGCGAGTGCTCCTGCTACGAGGCTCTGTCACCAGAACTAGGTCTGTGAAGAGGAACAGTTGGACCTCGTTTCCCTGGCGACCGCGACTATCAATGAGTCGCAGCACTCCACAGTGGAGAGGCTGTCTTGTGGGTGTGGCCAACTGGACTCTGCACGGCTGCAGCTCCAGAGACAGCCCCTGCAGAAGGGTTTGGATGTCCAGAAGGTGAAGAATCACCCATCTCTCTGACCTCTGGAATGTAGCTGTCAGGGCACAAGGAGGCCAGGCTGGGCCAGGACAGCGTCTCCTGGAGCTCCAGAAGCTCTTCGGATCGCTGCTGTGCTGTAATGTTGGCCTGCAGCTCCTCTGCAAGGGGAAGCACATGACACTCTCTGCCACACAAGGAACCAGTTTCCCTCACTGAGAGCCACAACAAAGGCTTTGATGGCAGAGGTGAGGAGGGACTTCTCTGAGGGCTCCGAGGTGGCCTTCAGCACATTCTGAGCCAACAAAAGCGGCCTATAAAACTCCTAGTCAGCCCTCATAGAGAGGAGATACACCTCTAGCAAGAGCTGGTAATGACACTGGTGCTGCATTGGAGCTATGAGAAAGTCAGTGAGGTCACTTCTCTGCACCATTGCATGTCCCCTGCACACCTGCCAGTTGACCAGAGTTTCACAGCATTGCTAGCAGTCCAGACAATTAGCAGCCATTCTGCCCACTCACCACAATGTACTCCTGGAAGTCTGGGAGTTGCTGTAGTGCCTTCACAAAGCCTCTCTGTTGTTCCTTGTTGACGCAGAACCTCTGGTACACTGGGTTCCACTTGTGTCCAAACTGGTAGAGAGAGGAAGTGTGACATACTACAAATCTAATTAAGACCGGCAGCTTACCATGCTGAAGGCAAGGATGAGCTCATTGGTTGGAGCTATCCTATTCCCATGCCGACCGTTAAACAATTTGAACAAATCTGAAGCGATTGTTATGCTCAGCTAGAAAGGCAGAGGTGATCTGATGCACCAAACACCTGAAGACAACCCTTACCTCCACTAGCTCACTGAGGTTAGCAAATATCTTCTGCACATCAGCTACTACAAGAAAACGATGAAACTGCAGCTCTTCCAAAAATGCCTTGTACACCTGTGGATGGAGAGTAGGGTATATACATAGGTGAGGGGATTCTGAGGGCTAGGGCTACTTGTTCAAGAGGCTGAAGCTGGTTGCAGAGGTACTTAGTCTCAGACTGGAACAGCTCCCAGACAGCAGAGCGGTACTTGGCCAGGCCTGGACCACATTGCGAGCCCCGACAGACGTCAGACCACGGTCGGTCCTGCACACCTCCAGTAGATACATGACTGGATTACTTGGATAACTGCACTCACAATGTACTGAGATAGAGAGTGAGGTTTCATGTGTGAAGAGCGCTCCAGGAAGTGGGCGAAATGGCTAGTGATTGAAGTGGGAGTGACAGTTGGTGGACGAGCTTTTGACCGTCCAGCCAACGATTTCCTGCGGAACCAAGCTGGTCGCAGTAGAGACTGAGCCCGGGAACGGGAGCTGGGGTGGACTATTGATAGTACAAACATTCTTAATCTGTTGTTTAGGTACATTGTACCAACTACTGAAAGTGTAAAACCAAGACAAAATTCTACCCCAGGTATATACTTTACGTAGCTACATAATTATGTTTAATATACCTTCTCTTGAATGGAGAGAGGACACTACACTCGTTCTTTCCAAAGTCACCGACATTCGCTTGTTGTCGGACCCTAGAAAGGGATGACGGTAGAAACTATTATGGTACATTAGAATGAGGCATGCCTACCTGCAGGATGTGCAGACTGCTCACTCCTTCTACCAAAGGAACCAATAATGAGAGGAGAGAGGATAGAAGGGGACGGCTCACCTAGATTCCAAGACAGGCTGGGGAGAAGGAGACTGTCGATTCTGCGGACGAGGAGGAGGTGGCCTCTAAGGAGGAAGGATGGTCACGTGAGCCAAGTCCATAACTTCCTAATTTAACAACCTCTCTTTCCTGGCGAATGTTTCCAATGGTATGCAGAGCTGGAGCTAGCAGAGTTGGTGGCAGACTAGCTTCCTGCAGAAAAGGCTGCATAATAATGGTACTGGTGGCTAGGGGCAGCCTGTACTGGATGACAGTGGCTGCGCTCTTCAGCTGATGCACTGGAGGTGGTGTCAGGCTCTGGAGTGGACTGAGTGTGAGAGTGCAGGAACTGAATCAAGGATGTTTACAATGGAGATTACATTCACCAGAGTCTCCGGCCTCTCACTGAGGCAAGTGAGAGGAGCAGGAGCCGACATCGCTCCAGGGAACACAAAAATATCTGGAGAAAGATTTTCAAATAACTACAGCACTCACAGCCTATGCACACACCAGGTTCATTTCTAGCAAGTGGAGGGCTGACTACAAGACTGGGGCTGACGCTCATTGGGTCAGAGCTCTGACAGGAGAGAAATGAACCCCCAGCTGTTCTTGGCTGGTGAAGATGTGAAGCGTACTTACCTGACTGTGAGGTGCAGAGCAGTCACTGGCAACCTCCCAGCCTGCCCTGCTGCTCTCCCACTCCTCTTTTCTCCACCGCGTCTCCGGCACTAAACCGTCAGACGCTTTGCACAGCGACTCGTAAATGCGACTTCTGGGAGGAAAGTCGTGACTTACGGTCAGGTCCGGAGCTGGGAGTTCGACTGCCGCTGCCGACCCCTCGGTACTCGGCCAGCAGCTCCGACAAGTGCTTCACTCTCCGCAGAGCTTCCGCCTCTCGGCGCAAGGCTGCGTGCAACATTTCCTGGAGACGTTTGTTGTCTTCTGCAAGGTCATCAGCGCCTTTAGCCGTCTCGAAACCTCTGGACTTAGTTGTTGTTGCCATCACCGTCTTTTCCGACTGAGTGTGTGTGCCCTGCCCACGTTTGTAGGCGAAATTGAAGGGTCACACTCCACCCACACACCTACCTGGAGGCACATGGCAACTGAGAAAGAGAAGGAGGCGTTCGTGGGTCGCAGTGGCGGCGCAACGTCTAGCCCCAGAGTCCACAGTCTGTGCCAGAAGAGGCTGAACCACGCTACCAGCAAGAGTCAGTCGTAATGAATAAGTGTCCAGGGTGTGCATTTTCTTGTCACAGGTAACTACGTGAGGTACATGCTGGAAGCAATGAAAAAGGCTGGTTGGTGAGCACCTAACTTCATTCAGTTGGTGCAGAATTTTTTGTGCATTACGTAGTGAGGTTTGTGTTCCACGGCACTTGGTATGTGAGCCTTGTGGTCCTCTGGTTGCTGGAGGATTTGACCCTTACCGCCAGCAAATTGTTCTGTGTGAGAACAACATCTACTCTCAGGTGAGTGCGTGTGGAGAAGAGGCAAGTCAGATGTTCTTCTCCCTGTGTAGGGCCACATGAATGAAACCCTGACTCATGAACTGGTTCACAGTTACGACTACTGCAGAGCAAAGCTGGACTGGAATGACCTTCATCACTTGGCCTGCACTGAGGTACGTGTGGCCTTAGTGAGGAGGGGTGTGGTTTTTATGTTGCACTCCACAGGTTAGAGCTGCAAATTTAAGTGGCGAGTGCTTCTTTTGGAAAGAGACATTCGCAAGGCTCAAGTTTGGTTGGAGGAAGCATCACCAGGTAGGAAGCAGTAAACCAGCTGATGCATTGCTATTCTTCTCTTCTCCAGACATGTGTGAAAGAGCGTGCATCAAAGTCAATGCAGTGTGTTCGTGAGATAACTGAGGCTGAGGCTTTGGCAGTCGTGGAGTCTGTGTTCCAGACCTGCTTCACGGACACTGACCCATTCGAGAGGGTCCCACCATAACCCATCTTGTGTCCTACGATCACTTTCAAATTCCAGCATCAGTTCAAAAATAATTTATTCCTACAAATTCATACATGTAAATGATCGGTACTTTTAAAGAGTGAGTGTGCAGGGCACAGCCGTAGAAAGCAGCTGCTGCCGTGAATTTTATAAAACTTTACACAAACAAAAGGTGGCTTCTAGTCAGTGGGCCTTCTTTTCCCCACTGCTGCTTGAAGCTCAGCTCGTAGCTCTGTCGGTGCCTTCGCTGGAGGAGGAGGCTTCACGAGCGGTTTGGTGGGCAGAGGCGGTCTCTCTTCCTTCTTGTCCCTGCGTGAGCCCCGGCCTTTGGATGGGGTCTTGCCTGTCGGCTTCTGAGCCAGTTGGCTGCCGAGCTGGGCCTGCTGGAGAGGGCTCCCCGTGGTGGACGAGTGAGGAGTGATGTGGAATGAAGTCTTTGCATGGTCTGCTCCTGGGCTCACTGTGTGGGAGTGTGGGCGGGGCTTCGTTGGGGGTGGGGGATTCTTCTGTTTCAGCTGCTCCGCCAGCTGCGAGACTCGTCCGCTACTTGTTGACGCCGAGCGAGAAATTCCTTCCTCTGTGCTACCAGCTGATGATGGCGGGTCGTATGACTTGCGAGGACTTAGGTCCACGTGTTTGCGATATGGGCTGACTAGGACCTGTGCGGGTGGAGGCGGTGCAGTGAACTTGCTGCTGAGACTCTTGACAGACGAAAACAGTGATTGCAGGCTTGCTGGCTGGTGGCTCCTGTTTCACAGGCTCAGGCGAGGACACTTTCTCCTCCAGTTCCTCATCTTCCTCCTTTGTCTCTGCATCAGCTGTCACAGTCACTTTGGGTGGCTCAGGGTTGCCCCTCACGTGCAGGGAGCTCCGGAATGCTGGCATCAACTGGTGCCTCGCTCACCTTCCCAGCTTCTTCCTCCCTAGCCTCCTGCATACTGGACTTCCTGGTGGGGGGAGGGGGGACAGCTGCAGTGTCGGAGGTGGCGGAGGGTGTCTGCAGCTCGAGCTCGATGATCTCCACATAGGCCACGGGAATGAAGCCCCTGTTGCTGCCACACAGTCCATCCCACCAGTGGCCGTCCGGGCTCTTCTCTACTACCTTCAACATATCTCCTCTCTTGAAACTCAGCTCCTTGTCGCTGCGGGCAGTGTAATCATGGAGTGCTCGGGCACTCACTGACATGACTCCTGGAGGGGGAAAAGTGGCTGATTAGTAGACAGGAAAGGCGAGATACTAACCTTCACCCTCTTCGTCTTCCTCCGACTCACTCTCTGAGTCCAAACCATGTGTCTTTTTCGCGGCCTCCTCTTTCCCATCCTCTCCACCTTCCTCGTCTCCCCCAGCAGCCAGCTCCTCCACACTGGCCTGAATGTCCTTTACTGTGTTGTCCAGTGCCGACCACTCCTGTAGCTCAGACACAATGACTACCATCACAACATACAGTTTTCTCCTCACTCCAGAGAGAGACACTGTGTTCAAGTCATCTTTCTTCTCTCCCTCTGCCTGTGCAGAGGGAGAGTCTGGCTTCTCCAATTGGAGCCCACCCTCATCAGGAGACAGTAAACCAGATGGCTGCTGTTGAACTTCCTGCAAGACACGAGAACAAACTTCACTATAATTATACCACTGAGAGGACGACATCATGCATTGCTGCCCAAGAGACCTGGTGTCATAACTATGGAACGCCAAATGCGCCAAAAATGGAGTGCTCGTTGCAATTCCCGATTTTTGGATTTTTGTTTCGGATATCTGTATATGTAATCGAAAAACACGAATCGATAATTGAAAAACAGGAATCCCAACGAGCACTCTATTTTTGGCATTCCATACCTAACCACACATATGTGCTTTTGGGCAAAAATTTGAACTACAACTGTTTGTGTAGAGTTGGCCTAAAAATGATGTGCCATTAGGTCGAGAAGCTGAGAAGATGTGGCACTTGAACATGATAATAGGTGTCACACAAGTAAAAGCTCTAGAGTTCTAGTTCAGTAGATGTGTGTAACCAACTATTTACGGACCTCAGGTGTTATGGTGGACGAGGAGAGATGGGAGGCTTAGGATCATGAGGGGGAAGAGGAGGAGGTGGGGAATTGACAGGTTCCTGGGTTGGAGGAGAGACCACTGTCTCTTCTTCCTGCACGAAAGACAGTAGACATCCCCTTCACTCTTGGGAAGGACACTGACCTTGGTCTGAGAGGAGGAGGGGGTGGGAGGGGGGGAGACAATGCCCTCAGCTGGCCATGTGGGGCTCTCGTGAGGAGGGGAATAGGACGGAGGTGGAGCCATCATGGCAGAGTCTTCCTCTTCCTCTTCCTCCTCACCAAACACCTGTGAACAACAACGCAAACAACTGTCATAAGTAAACTGCACTCATAGAGCTGGGGAAAGGAAAATGGTTTGGGTGCCACATTTTCCACAACCGAAACAGTTCATTACAGATTAGCCTGAAATGCCTGTCTCACCTGCAAGTGGTGGTCAATACAGAGCTGGATGAGCATGTTGACTGACGGGACATCGTTGTGCAGTTGTCTGGGGTCTGCGTCGGGCGGGGCACGGGTGAGAGTGGGACCAAAGACCAGCGCGAGGTTGGCCGACGTCATCTTGTTGTCAGAGCTGTGCAGTGAGACTCTGTGGCAGACAGAGAGCAGGGGGAGTAAGGGAGGGACGCGAGGGAATTTGTCTTACCTGAAGAGGAATTTGAAGAGATGTTTCATGACCTTAAAGACTGCCGGGTGGACTAGAGTCAGTGTGTTCTGAAGGCTTTCCAGCCGACTGGTGACATCATCCTGTCCTGCAGGGGGAGGGGCCAACTGACACACACAGTCAGCGCTCAGTGTCTCACGTGTGCAGTTGATGAAGGCCTTGTAGTTATCAGTCGGGAAGAGAGGCACTTGAAGCTCTCTGAAATAGCCTTTGAGAACGCTGGCCACTCCTGCAATGTCCACTTTATTGCTCACATAGAGCAGAGGGTCACGACCTGCACTCAACAACTCTCTAAACACTCCGACAGGAGGATTATGTAAGCCTCACCTTCCTCGAATGCCTTGCGGAGATCCTCTGTGTAGGCTGCAGGTCCGGGAACTCTGAAGAGTCCCTCCATCTTGAGCCCTACAGCAGGGGTCAAAGGTGGCAGGGAATGAGTTGACAGGGGAGAGTTCTAGGAATGAACAAAGCATGTCCATATTAGGACCAAAGCAAGCTGCAGCATCCTTGCAAAGGAATCACCTCCTCCACAACACACACTCTGTGGGTATACACAACCGCCATGGGAGACATGTGTATATATGAGCATGTTTCTTTCAGTAGTGTGCTTTTGAGTTGAGTCTCATTTTACAGCACTTTCGAGGCAATTCTTTCAGCCTCGGCTTGGTATTATACAGACCCTTGTGGGAGGGTTGAATAACATTTAACAATACAAGGCCAAGTGCCTTTCGCAACACAAAGTGAGGTCTCACCTTCTTTCTCGATGGCTCGCATGCAGCTGGAGACAATGAGAGGAATCTCGCTCCCTGTGGCCTTCAGGTACTCCACCACATTTCCTCCAAACAGCTTCGGGACCTCCCCCGGCACAGAGGCATCCACTCCTACTGCGACTGGGGGACTAGTAGAGAGGATGGAGAGAGGTAATGGAGTAAACTAAACTCACTGTCACATACTTACATTTTCTGCTCGTCGAGAGCTTTCTCAAGAATATCCAACTGAGAGTGAGCTAAAGCCAGCTTGTCCGACCTGCTAACTCTTCTCTGTAGCACCTGCAGGAACCAGTGGTAAGGAAAACGGAAGAGATAAACAGACAAAAACAGACGTACACCAAGAGTAAAGTGGAGAGCGTCTTTCTTGCCGCGCTGACTGAGGGTGATGGCCTGACTGGCTCTGGTTTGGTACGCGAGACCTCTGTCCAATGAGGCAGAGCCGCGGGATTGGCCTCCAGTATCCACTGTCTGCAGTACAATCACTGACTTGTTAGACAGCGAGAGATAGAAACTTACCATAGCATCCCCGGCCTCCTCCAGTACTGACAGAGCATCTTCCACACTAGTGATCCTATATTTCTTGAGGTTCACCTGCTCCATATGCAGCACCGTCTTCGCATCCTGTGGAGCAGAGTGGGAAGAGTGAACACAAGAGGAGGGTACGGCGCAAACCTCTTCTCTCTGTATTTCTAGAGTCTGGATGTTAGAGTGGATGCTCTCCACTGTCTTCTTGGCTCTCTCAAACACATCCTGGGTGTTCACCTTGTACTCCATCACCTGAGGAAAACAGAGAGTGTATAGTGATCACTAGTAGAGGCTGGGTGACCATACGTCGTCTCCGTCATAAGGCTGGAAGGAGAAGGGGTTGGGGGGAGTGAAAGGCCCGGGATTCTCGGAGAGAAAGTAGTGGAGATCGTTTTCAAAGTTGAGACCCTTGGCCTGGTCCATGACACTGCGAGCACAGGCCATGACAGCCTCACAGGACTCTGCCTCTGCATCCTTGTACGCCATAGCCAGCCTCTCAAACGAGACGTGGTAGTCATAGTCCATGTACTGTACATAATGGGAAAATCTCAACGGACTGCTATAATGGAGGGAGACACACCTCAATGATGTCCATTATGTCCATGTTGAAGTACTGCATTGAGAAGGAGTTGCACTTGCAGATGTCGACCAGAAGGTCATTCCTGTTCTTCATCACCAGGTGTTTCTGGACCTTGTACTGCCTGTTCCTCTGTCAGAGGGAGGGAGACACTGCACTACATCTGACAGACCTGCCCACAACCCACCTCAGCTTCTTTCCCCAGCGCTTTCTTCTTCTGAGTGGCGTTGCGCGCAGCTTCAACCTTCTCGTGACTCTTTATAAATTTCACCTCTGCTTCATGTGTATTATAGCAGGAATGGTGGTAGACCTTCGTTTGCTACAGATGGGGGAGATTACATCTTGTCCCTCCCTGATAGGTTCGTTACCTCTCCAAGGTCTCGGAGTTCCTTCAGAAAGTGATCTTGCACCTCTGCACATATCTCTCTGCACTGGAGGGGGAGGAAAGCAATATAAGGCAGGGTGTTGGTGGAAGAGGGCATGCATACACCATGTATGAGCCGGGGGCCACTAAACTAACACTGCAGCTCCTGAGTACACACACTGCCAGTCGGCCCCCACCTACACCTACACACATATATACCCCATCTCCCCTCAGCACCGACTGTCCAACCTTCTTGGTGAGGATGTGAACATCTTTGGCCATGATATCAAGTCGCGCCACCATCTCTGACGCCAGAGTCTCCGCCAAACTGGCCCTCTCGCGCGACAGCTTCCTCGTCTCTGCCAGCACAGTGGACCAGAGGTTGAAGCTGGAGCGAACCTCGTTCCTACCAACACAACAAACACACACTCTGTCACACAAACTAGCTGTGAGAGAGGTCCTCACCTGAGGTTCCGCTGCTTCGTGCTCCGCTCGAACTTTTCACACAGTCTCTCCAGACTGCGAGCATACTCATACTCCACCTCGCCTCTCTTCTTGAAGAACTCCTGGAACTCCGCCAGCAGAGACAACTTGGACTCCATACGAAAGTCTAGACAGCCGAGCTGGTCGTTCAGCTGCCGACGGATGTCTGGGAGAACAGGGAGAGGGAGAAATTCCACACCTCGCGCGGCAAAGGGAGACTCCGCCAAGCACAGACGGGACACTAGACCTTATCTTGGGCAGTACGCTCTTATACTCTGGCGGGTTCTTCTGGGACGATCACTTACCCTTGAGCTGAGTGTCGAGATCAGCAGGTCTGGAGGTCTGCCTGGACATGGCGCCTCCTGCCCAACGTCCTGAACTTCACACGAATCCGAGCCGAGTTCCAAGGCACGCACGCAGGGCCGTGAGTGCAGCTAGATCACTTAAAGGAGTCACAGAACTTCGCCCGCACAACAACTCTTGTCGCCTGTTACCTTTCAAGAGAACTAAAGACCCATGTAAGTAATTGCATGCGCTAGGTGGTGCATGTTGCACGCCCGTAGTATATGTACACTGTATGTGTGTGTGTGTGCGTGTGTGTGACAACAGGTCACGTGATGTAATTTCATTCCCATAAATTTTTTTGGCAGAAACACTAGTCTATAGCTAATGATCCATAAGAGCATCTTCACAGAGCCAGAGCTGCCTCAGTTTTGGACCATATTGTTCATGTGCCACAGAGCCCAGGACAGGGAGAAGCAACTTCATATCCTGCAACCAGAGAGACAGAGATTATGTGGTCCGGACTAGTCCTGGGAGCTGGAGCTCACAGGATCATTTTCAGGATCTAGCATGTTAAGGGAGGAGAGTGCAGTGGTCACCAACTCTTTTCCAAGCCCAGTCTCGCACTCCCTGTAATGTTACAACACCACATTTGACTATATAATATGAAGTGCCGTTTGTGTCAAAACTAATTTCAAGCTAAAAACATCGACCTCTAGTTAAATATCGAATATCTAGCCAGCCGCAAAACATTGAATCCACGAGGTGTTATTCCTACCAGCTATAGCAACTGATTTCTTATTGATGTTTGCCTTTTATATTTACTGGCGATATTTTCAAACATCGCTCTCTTGATTTTGTCTGTCTGGGGTTCACCATGTAATTACACGACGAACATCATAATTGACACAACATGCAGTTATTGTGTACCTCCTGAGAGCAGCAATTCTCTCTCGTAATCTCCCAGGACGCAAGGCAGCATTTCCCACACCACACACCTCTCTACCATCATCAGGTGTGCTCTCGCAGTGGAGGGTGGAGTCCAGCAGAGTGAAGGACTCTTCCTCTTCCCTCCCAGCAACTTTACTCCTTCCCCCCTCTCCACCTCTCTCTTCACACATCTCTTCCTCCAGACTGCTGCTGCTACTCACAATCCCCACCACTTCGCTCCCTGAACCCTCTCCAGATTCCCAACCACTGGTCCACCCGTCTCTTCCCCTCCCCTCTCTCCTATTCTACTCTGCCCCCTGCTCTCCTTTTTCCTGCATCCTGCCTGCGTCTTCGCCGCCGTCTTTCTCTGGCTAAACTCAGTCCAGACTGAGGCCCCATTGCCACCTTCTCTTGCGGTGTGGGAGTAGAGGCAGAGGCCACTTGCTGTACATGTAGAGAAGACAATGTGCTTTATAATGACTTTGATCTCAAGAACGGCTGACCTTCTCCAACTGCTCACTTGGATCACATGCACCTTTCTCTTCTTGTTGTGGCCGCACTTTCTTTCTCCTGAGAGGAGACAAGTGGTCCACACTTATTAGGTCCCTCATGGTCTCCACCTACCTCTTTCTACTGGCAGCCGTGTCTAGGAACATCTTTATGTGAGTTCTAATGTACTCCTTCCTGAGCAGTTGGTGGACACTGGGTCGCAGTGCAGCATCACGTGACAGCATCCCTTGTACCAGGCCACTCAGATCTGGGCTAAACTGCTGAGGCAGCTCTGGAGCCTGCAGGTAAACTGCCACACTTTAACTCCCTGGTGGACCATGTCGGCTTACCTTCTGTCCCTTGACAATCTTGACCATGAGAGCATTGATGTTGTGAGCTGAGAATGGGTGCTTCAGGGTTGCCATTTCATACACGCAGCAGCCGAGGGCCCAGATATCAGACTTGTGGTTGTACGGCTGGTCAGAGAAGAGCTCGGGACTCATGTAGTATGGAGTACCAACAACAGTCTTGGCCAAATCACAGGAACCATCCAGCACTCTGGCAATCCTAAGTCCCCAACCTACCAACACACACATGCACTATTGCAGAAAGGCTCACTCCACTATATGTTCTACCTTGATGATGTCATGCTTGCTCAAGAATATGTTCTGAGTCTGTGAGAGAGAGAGAGTGCGGGTCATTTACAGAAGGAGAAAGGTAGGACAGACTTTGAGGTCTCTGTGCAGAACGTTTCTGTCATGGAGGTACTGTGGGAGACAGAGGAAGGGTCACTGTGTGCAACTAAGCAGCTGGGCAGAACTACCTGGAGAGCCAGACAAATCTGTACAAACCACTCAACTACTTGTCTCTCAGGCAGCAGACGACCTCCTTGGGCCTTCAGTCTTGAAGAAAGGTCACCACCCTCACAGTAGCCCATGATAATGTGGAGGACACAGCTGCTGTCCTGGAAAGACTCTCTATATGACACAATGTTCGGGTGCTTCAGTCGAGAGAGTAGAGAGGCCTGTAAGACTCGACTAATGTGGTCACTGTTTGTAGTGGTTCCACGAATCACCTCTTGTTCAGCAGCTCGTCGCTCCTTGGCGCTGCTAGCAGTGAGTTTTATGTTCTTCATCACGTACTGCAGGGGCCGCTAAAACCAGGCAAACTTCTGCGGGACTGCCTACCTGCTTCCCGTCTCCTCGATAAGTGACCAAGAACACCTCGCCGTAACTACCCTTGCCAATGGAGCGCCTTACTCTGTAGCTAGAGGACCAGTTGGGTCGGTCCTTCTCCTCAGCCGCCATTTTTTTACTACATACGTAGGTCATCCGCTGTTTGAAACGAGCCTATTACATATGGCGCGGCATTTGTGTCAAAACGAATTTTTTCAGTAAGCATCCGTATTTGTAATTGTCGAACAAGAGGCGACGATTCTTTTTTCGTCGGCATTGCCCGCGCGCTGAGGTAGGTGCACACATGACCGTCACGAGACCCACTCGTGACCACCTGGAACATGGCAAGTAGTAGACAGCCTTGACTCTGGAGCTTGCCTCGGAGCTATCAGATCTGATACATTAGTTGCCCACGGGCTAGTGGCAACCGCGAGACACGGGCCGTGTGTCGAGTGATTATATATGCCCGCTTCATGTCATCGACAACACATCGCTTACGTGCTCGTGTCTTCGCCGATTGCCACTAACCCGTGGGCAACTAATGTATCTGATAGCTCCGCATCTACGGTGTCACAGTATATTTTATCCCCCGTGTATTTGTCCGGGGATAGTATATCTATCTATCCGGCCGGATAGAATACTCTAGTGTGGAATTCCGGGGTTCGGATATTTATCCCTCTAATATCGAAAAGTTTCTGCGCATACGGTTGCGCATCTAGCGAACCCTGAGCCCCACGCTCGCTGGGATATCCGGTAGTGTTCTACAGTCCGCTGGTGTAACCCAAACAGGCTGTCATCGCATTCTGGTAACGTTGAAATCCCCCACAGAACCTCAAACACACACACCCGCCTGCGTTTAGACACTCCTAATACGCACAGCACGGGTATAAGATATCCCGGGTGCGGATAGAATATCCTAGAAAATTATCCGGGGGATAGAAATCCTATCAGGCCGGGAGAAAATTCGGGGGGATGAATGTACCGAGCGCGACACGGTATATAGTCGCCATTTTATCGTGGCGGATAATGCGCATGCGCTTATATTTAGCACTCGACCGGGTCCGCTTGCGTTGATTTTCAAAAAGTGACCAATACACCTGCAAACTACGTAGGTTCACTTTCAGTATATATGACCCCTCCCCCTCTTCTTCCACACACACACACTGACACTGCCATGAGATTGATGACTTTATGACTACAATATCAACTACTGATGATCTGCTATATCTCTGATGCTATAGCTGTATGCTTCAGGCCGCTAGCTAGGTCTCTCCTTCCATAGCTTCTTATCGAGAGAGAATGTGTACAAACTTGTAGCCTGCACCAATGTAGAACTGCTCTGAATTCTACCCTGCAGGGGAGAGGGGGTGTTGGGGGTTTGAAGGTAGGCAAGATGGACACACACCAGTGGAGGCGGAGGGCATGGAGGAACGCAGATAGCCCCTCATGATGAGCAGTATACCCACATCAGGACAGCCAGAAGGCAACAGGAAGAGAGAGCTGCCACCCCGATAGCAGGCTGCTGGCTCCCAGGACACTCCCTCTGGAGCACCATCATCCACAGACCTCTGACAGCTCTGGAGGAGGGGGGATTAAGAATATATTTGTGTAGGGTACCCACGGCGTGAGCGAGGGAAAGGGCCCACAGCGATGTAAGAAGCAGTGTTGGAGATGGTTCCCAGC